AAGAAACAAACCTTATCGGTGATTTCTGCCAATATCTGGCAATACCGTGGAAGAGATGTTTTGATTAGGCAATTTTCATTACTAAAAGCACTATAGCACAATAAATTAATTCAATGTTGTGCACTTATCTATTAGACACATTACTATAGGAATATAAAAATGTTAATTATTCATTATCATTGCTCTGATTATTTGTTGTGGCTGATAATTACACTGAATATATTTTATATCAGTAATAACCTTCTGTCTACATTTACAACATGTCGTATCTTGGGGGCTTGTCAAGTTTTTTCCCCAAGCCTTTCCTTTATTAAGACACAGACCTCAGGAGTACATAACCTTTATGTTGAAGGCTGATTTTCTTCTTTCATATAAAGAGCAAATATTATAGATTAATTAATCCAGGATGATTATAATTTAATCACTCTTCCTCTGGCTTCACAAGGGATTCAGCTTTTATTCAGTTGCTCATTCATATTGTTATGAAGAATAAATGCAGTCATAAAATATTTGTGTGTTATGAATTCACAGAACAACCAACTGAGAAGCTGGAGGGGGAATGCGTGCTAGCCGGGCACCCGCTTGAGTCCCACACCATGTGGCCTCAGCCTGGAATACAAGCTAATGACCAGAAGGTGAAGAGCCTTAACCAGGGCGGGAGAGGCCGGCCTCTAACGCAACTGAATTTGGCATGCTTCAACCACAAACGATATATTTCAGCCCCACAGAACTTACCTAGCACCTACTATACACCAGCACTGTGTTAAACTCTGAGCATAAACTACCTACTAATTGCTTGATCTTGGAATTGTTATTAATGTCTTTGTGCCTTGGTTTTGACATCTGTAAAATGGGTTAATAAGAGAAACTTCTTCACTGTGTCATGAAGATTAAGTGAGTTAATAATAGGTATTGAAGTGCCTTGAATGGTGCCTGGCACTGGCAAACAATAAAGGTGAGCTGTTTTGTTGTTGCTGTTGCTAATTTTCATTCAGATGTCTCCCTTGTCAAGATGGCGGCAGATGTGTAAGAAGTAAGTAACAGAACTAATTGTTCAGATGCAGTGGCAGGGATCAAAGTCTATTGAAAGATACAAACGCAGGATGTGGTCTGTTTGCTCGGGGTGTGGTATGTGAGGAAAGGCTTCCCAGAAGAGATCTGTGGAGCTGACTCACTCAGTAAATACGCTGCTGTGTTGTGTAGGTCCACAGTGGGGTGGTGGTGGGCGTCAGGTAGGTGCCCTTCTAAGAAGAGGGACAGCTGTTCCTAAAAGCTGAGAAGCTTATCGGCTGTGGTGGGGATGGAGGGCTCCGGCTAGGCCAGCAAGGACCAAGCCCCGTGGAGACAACAAGCATGGTGGGCCGGCAGCTTGGGCTTCACCCCCAGAGGCATCAAGGCACCACAAAAGTGTTTTCAGCTGCATAGTCACAAGATCAGCATTGCAAGACTGGCCCAGCCGCAGGCTGGAGTGTGGAAGAGATGGTGGCCGAGAGTCTGTGGAGAGACAGTCGGTGGTAGGATCCAGGCAGGGGCTGTGAAGTCTACGTTGACCTAGGCAGGAACATGTGGGCTCATGGTGCCGAAACCGTTCAGAGGCCCAACTAACTCCACAACATTCTGAGAGGAGGCAAAGCTTTTGAGTTTGGTTTTAAGTAACAGCTACGTTATTGGTGGGGTGAGGGTGGGGGACAAAAGGGAAGGGGGGAAGGGCTACAGGCAAGAAGAGCAAGGTGAAGACAACAAGCAACATTTATTATGTGCCTACTGCATGCCAGGCGCTGCACAAAATGCACTTTTATTACCTCACTTTTAAGACCTCACAGAAGTTTAGTGAGGAAAAGGCCATTATGATCCCATTTTACAGATCAGGACACAAAGGCTCCATTTGTTACATATCAGGGCCACAGAGCAAGAAAGTGGTAGTTTCGAATTCTGGACCGTTCCTCCCTTGATTTGCATGGTCAGTAAAGTGAGTGAATGATTCCCATGAGTGCAGGATTTCACTCCACAGCTTAAATGGGAACACTCAGAGCCCTCATACAGGGTTGCTGCCTGTGTGAGCGTGATGGGGAGTGCATCAGAACACCTTCTGGGCTTTTGAGCAGCCATGGTTTCATGTCCTGTCAAGTTTGGATTTTAACTGCCCAAGGAAGTGGCTCCTCCTGTGGGGTGTTTGTTCTCCCTGGACCAAGGGAAGGCTGGGCCTCAGGTGCTTGCTACATCCTACAGACCCCAGGCGACGCCATGGGTCAGCAGCTTCTCAGCCAGCAGGCATGGAGGATCAAAGATGCCAAGTGGCTGTCTAGGTGTGGGGGGATGGAGCAGGCCATGGGGAGGGCTGCCAGTAGGGGTGGGGCTCTCTGAATTGGGATGAGCAAGATCTCTGAGGAGACCTGGGAGGCAGGAAATGTTCCAGCTGAGGAAACACTCGGGACACCCAGGCTTGGGGCTCTGAGGAGAAACATAGAAGAAAGCAATTCCCGAGCTCCTTCTCTCTCTGGGCCTCAGTTTTCTCGTGTGTTCAGTGGGGTGACTCTTCACAGGACTGAGGAGGACTGGTGGGAATGTCGATGAAGCAGCACAGCGACAGGGCAGGAAGCCCACTGATGTTAGCTCCTGGCCTGGGGAGGGGTCTCCAGGCAACCCAGAAACACCCAGATCCTTGCGGGGGTGGAATCTGTGTGTGGCAGTGCTCCCACCCGGCAGCAGGGGGGGCTGTGACCCTGGGCTCCGGACAAGTGGGCCCGCCTCCAGAGGGATTTTGAATAGGGATTCGGGGGGGTGGGGTGGGGGGTAATTTTCAAAGACAGACCATAAGAGATTAATTAGCCCAAAGAGTGCCCTTAATAATCAGTCCTCAACCCTGGCTGCATATTAACATTGCCCAGAGAGCTTCCAAACATTCTCATGTCCAGGCCATACCCCCAGGGGGTCAGGTTCATTTGATCTCCAGTGGGCCCAGGCATGGGTCTATTTTTAAATCTCCCCAGGATATTCTAATGGGTCGTCAGAGTTGAAATCACCAATTCAGGCAGAGAGGGAAGGCCAGCTGCTTAGGCACCACCGGGCATGAGCCTGAGCTCCAGGGCACTTTCCCCAAGCAGAGGCGCATTAACAGGCAGCTTTGTGGGAAACTTATGGAGCCTGGGACGCACCACAAAGCACGCTCCCGGGACCCTTGGCCAGCCACTCTCCACCTCCACTGGGGACGGTCCAATGTGGACAGTGTCATCACAAACCCTGGGAACAATTCCTTCAGCATCTCCCCATTATCTGTCCAGCCAGACAAGGAATGAAGGAGAACCTACGGCTGCCCCTCCAGCCCTGCTTTCCGCGCCTGGATGGGAGGATGCGGTGCTGCCCTTGAGCAGAGATGAGGACAGAACTGAGGGCTTGAGCTGCGCTTGCTCATGTCCCACCCTCCCCACAGCGAAAGGCAGGTCTTGACTGGCTTGGCCTGGTCTGCACCTAGGCAGTCAACTCTCGGTTCTGCAGGAGAGGATTTTCCTGTTTATGGATTACATGTGGCTCCCTTGTAATTCCAGCCTGTTTTTTTCCACTGCTCCACACCCTCCCTGGGTCTCCCTCCCTGTGGCCTGGATGGCACACAGCCTCCCACAACTGTTATCTGAGCGGACTGGGATGTCAAACTGGTTCTCAGTGTTCAACCTGGTGCTGAACACACCACAGGGGCTAAATAAATGTCTGTTGACTGATGGGTTGTGGCCACCAGATCATGAGGTGTAGCTCAGAGCACCAGAGAATTATTCTTGGATTTTCTTCCTTCCTCCACTGTGCTGATGAGCAACTGTTGACTGTGATACTTTCTAGACTGACTTATCGCCATTTCCACAAAATGCCCTCCAATCCAGAGATAGCAGAAATTTTCTCTTTGTTGCCAAAGTGTTATCTTTCTATAGCCTCTTGTTAGTTCAGCTGTATTTTAGACCAAGTATGTCATATAACAGTTTCCACAGTGGTCCAACCTGCACTTTATTTTCAACATTTCTCTGTTGAGGGGCTACATTTAATAACTATTATGTCCCTATTCAGATGTGTTTTGAGAAGCTAAGAGAGGCAAGTCTTTATAAGAGAGCAGTTGTCTAAATCAAGGGCCAAAATAACTTCAGACGCCATCCTAGGTTAAAGTGGGATTAAAAGAAGTGAGGGTAAAGTTACCTGGCGGATGGAGTCAACTAATTTTGAAAAGGTTATCAGAGGGGTTATACATGCTCTGGAAATCAGCCTGTAAGCTTATTTATTCTAAGAAAGGGTGTTTGGATTTGATGAGGGAAGAGCCACATGGAAGAAGGATCTCTCCTGAGAAGACAAGTCTTTCACTTCAGTGGGTAATTTACTATTTGCTAAAAAGTGTAGTTCTTCTAACAAACCTTATATGAGAGGAATGAGGTCCCTCTGGTGAAATATGAGAAAACTTCTTAGAGAAGTTACTTCTTGAGCTAAATCTTAGGTAGGGTGAGATTTAAAACGGCAAACATTGGGGGGAGGTGCATCCCTGACAAAGTGAATGGATTGACAAAAACACAGGGACAAGAAAGGGCCTGTGTGAGAGATGATGAGGGAATGAAGCCAGTTACTTGAGAGGTGGGGGTGGCGTAAAGGGAGGAAGCTGGAAAGTCTGAGAACTAATTCTTACTAAACAGCTGTGAGCTCTCACCCTGGGAACATCGAGACTCAGCGGGTCCTCCGAAGGGCAGGCCACAAAAGTCAAAGTTCTAATGGCAGCATTCCAGCCAGCAGTTACCCAGGGAAGAAGATATCTTAGATAAGTCCTTTCCAGCTTGTCATAAAGCCCCCTCAAGACATCTCCTTACTGGTATGTTTTACCCCAGTCTACAGGGTCTGGAGGCATCTGGGCCTCCCGGTAGGTGGGATGGGATTTCCTCCTTCCTGTGTAGGTGAGTTTGAAGAGACAGCTTAATGCTGTGTGGTCAGAAGTGCAGACTCTAAGGCCAAAAGGCCCAAGTTCAAATGCCAGCTCCATGCCTTACCAGTTCTGCAGCATTGGAAAGTGTGTGCCTCAACCCGTGTGTGCCTCAGTTTCCTCAGCTGCAAAGTGGAAGGTGCAAACAGTAGTACCAAGCTGCTTGTGTCATCGAGGAGATGAAAGGTCCGTGCATTCAGAGAGTGCCTGGAATATAATCCGTGCTCAGTGCGAGCTGCTATACGGTGATTTTTGTTACTGCTTTTGTCAGTGATGGTGATGCTCTTCTGTCCCTTGCCGACCCACCTCCATTGCCCATCCCCTTCTCGCCAACCTTTGCTCTCTTCTATACAGAGTAAACAAATGATGATTTGCCTATTTGAACAACACTGTGCCATTTTGCAAGCGCTTTCACATATACGATCTCATTTGGCCCTTGGTATGTGCAAAGTAAACACTTTGCACATATGAAAATGAGAACAGCAACCCCCCCCCCCCCAAATAAGTAGACTTACCCAAGGTCACTGTGCCAGCAAGTGGCAAGTGAACCCAGTCTGGTGTCCTAAATTCATTTGTTCATTCATTCATGTGTTATTCATCTGTCCGTATTTTTTGAGCACCTGCTCTGTGCCACAGACAGATAATTGGTGATATGGCTATAGAACACTTTATCTTGCTTATGGTCTACTGGGGAGTGGTAGATAATAGAGACAATCTGGTGGTATGATAGAAGGAAACATGGGTTCCCCTAGAAGCATACAGGAACTGAGAGGGAGGTTCCAGGAGCTTTCAAAGAGATGGGACCTACAGGTGAGTCTGGAAAGATTAGAGAGAATCAATCATCAGCACAGAAAGGAGGAAGGGAACTCCACCTCTTCCTTCTCTAACCCCACCTGCTCCCCCAACACACATTACCTCTGTGGGATCGGCAACAGCCTTGAGTTTAAAAAACGAACAGGATTACTGGTATTTGCTACGTGCCTTCTATGTGCCTGGAGTGTTGAGGCTGAGCCCACAAGGAGCTCCCCATCTAACTCGGGGGTGGAGGCCTGAGCAGGGCAAATGGTGGACAAACAAGGGTGTCCAGGATGACAGCAGGTGTTGTGTGCTTGGTGCCACCATAAGCGTAACTGGCCCCAGGAGATATGCAAAGATGCCCAAAGGGGGTGTCCTGGCTGTCTCAGCCCCCCACGTTACATTAGCTCCCTTTTACACACCACATACTAGACAGAAGGCCCTGTATATCTGTTATCTTGTTTGTTTTACCTCAGAATCGTTGAGAGCAGACTCTTTAGAGAATACAGACATTGCAGCCAAAAAGAGGCAAATAATTTGCCCAAGGGGGCTGAGTTCCAAATCGTAGTGCCTTCAAACAACAATAATCACTATCTCTCACCGTCTCTGTGGGCCAGGCATAGTGGAAATGGTTTGTCTCTGCTCTACAATGTCTGTGGCTTCAGCTGAAGACTTGAAGTTCGGGGGCTGGATTCATCTGCAGGCCCGCTCACTCACGTGTCTGGAGGTTGATCTGGGCTGTCTGCTGGGGTTGTTTAGTTGGAGCACTTTTGTGTGGCCTCTCCATGTGGCCAGGGCTGCCTTACAACATGGTGGTTGGATCCCATGAGGAAGCATCCAGAGAGAGAAAGGGCCACGTGGGAGCCACGCCTTTGTGACCTTCCTCGAAGGCCACACAGCACCACATTTATCCTATTTGATTGACTGAAGCAATTACAAATGTCCATCCAGGTTCAAGGACGAAAACATAGACCCCACTTCTCAAAGATCAGTGTCAGTGTCACATTAAAGAAAATACATGGGATGGAGTGTATATTAGGGCGCCTTTGCAAAAACGATCTCCCATAGTGACACAACAGCAGATTGGGGTCCTCTCCCACATATGGCCACAGTGAAATACCTGCCTCTCCTTAACAATGCCGTCTTCCCAGCTGGAGGGAGACACACTTGTCCACAGATGTTTGAGTACCCAGAGGCACACTCGACAGGCCCCAGTGCTGGGTGATCTCCCCCTAATATGCAGAACATAGCCAGTCCCTGAGCCTTGTCTTCTTTTGCCTTCCTTGTCCTCTGAACTCCCCAGCCAGCGCTTTCAGAGGAATACGCATGCCAGAAACCCCGAGCTCACAAAGCTCAGGAGAATAAGTACCAGTGCAATCACCTGAAGTTTACCTTTCTGCCTTAGCGTTTTTTGGGAGGGAAGGGGGGGCATCCCTAATCTTGTTTGCAGCTGTTTCTCCATTTCTATGCTGCCTATCACCTTTTAGACCCAGATGCGATATGAATTATTCATTTGATTTGGGGCAGGTGCACCCATTTCCTCCCAGGACCCCAGGGGCAGGCATAGGAAATTAATTCACAATGTCTGTAGCTTGAAGTCACTTGCAATTTCCACACCACGGAAAAAATAAACCGAAGATATGGGACTTGAGAAAGCTCAAAGGTGCTGAGAATAGTCATCAGCAATTCCTAACTGTCTCTTAGACAAAAATGGGCACTGATTCCTCCATGAAAGGTTTATGTTAGCTGACAAAATGGGGCTTCTCAGTCGTGGAGGTGATAAAATCCCGTAATAGTAAGCAAGGGGTGTCATAGAAGCTCCTCCCTGGAAGTCTTAAGATAATGGGACAGAACTGTCTGCTCACCATGGGATGGACCTGCCACCTTCTCAAGCATCCCCAAACTGACTCTTCTATTACTCACTGAATATTCCAGGACTAACAAGTTGAGGTCTCTTCCCCTTGGGCATTATATGAGTCTGAAGAGCGAACACTACAGATGGACATGGCTCGTAGCCCCTACTATGGACCAGCCCTCATCCCTCTGGATCTCCCAAGGGCCATTTGCTTATGATGTGCTCTCTGTCATCAGAAATGTCATTCATGTCCCTGTCTCTAGCACTTTGGGAGCTGGCTTCCCCTTATTAGAAACTTCAAAAATTTCTCTAGCAGTCCCGATCCTCTAAATGTGTCCTCCAAACATGGGAAATTTCTGACTGGGGAGGATTTTTTTTTTAGTGTAAGACTAAAATAACTAGATGATTAGAGCTGGATGAGAAGAGGAAGTAATTTCTGATAGTTTCTCTTGAGTGCTAGGGTTCCTCTGAGTTTCCATGGGGTCCCTCAGGTGAAGGGGGAGGGCAGTGAAGAGAAGGAACTCCAGCACCAACTAGAGTAACTTCTGTTCATCTGTTTTACACACTGAATCAAGGAATCCTCACCTCATTCAAAAAAAAAAAAAAAAAAAAAGAAAACTTAAACACTAATCCTACTTACTTGATATCTAGAAGGCAAGATGGATGTTAAAAGAGGGTCATTTTTTACCCACAAAATATTAAACGTGTTTAGCACAGAAAGAATTATCTAGAAACTCAATACCCCAACTAAGTTACTTTTCCTTCTAGAAATGTCACCTTCACACTGAGTGTTTTGGCTGTAGATCATGCAGTTTTCACATGAGTCCAAAGCCCTTGTTTGTTGGGGAGCTATGGAAACAGAAGGTTTACAAGGTGCTACTCTGCCTTTCCAGAATTACCTTGGTAGGAAGGCTCTTTTTGATTTTTTTCTGTTATTTCAGTAATTGCTCTATGTGGACTCGGGATAGTTAGGCACCTGGTTGTATTGATTGTTTTCACACTTCAATTTGAAAAGGGTCTTACACCATAAAATACATCTACTCTGATTCTTTTCTTCATTGCCACTGTATTTGGGAACCGTTTGGCCTAAGCAACCCCTACTGATTGATAAGTGTGAGCTACAAGGAAGACATGTAACTACAATTCTAAGTGGTTATGGTTATTTATGGCATGAAATCTAGCAAATGCATCTGTTGCTAGCAATTTTAAAAATTTTTAGGAAAAAAATGTCCTCTTAACACTGAGAGTTTTTTTGGGGGGGGGGTTAAGTCTCTTTGCTGATCATCCCCTAGGTGATAAATGATATGATTATTAATTATTGCTATCATTCTGATTATTAATATACCATGGGTGATGCTGAGATTGGGATGCTCAATACGATTGAATTTTCCAGCGAAAAATAACAGTGAGCATGACTACATTCCTATTATGTGCCAAGCATCTTATTAACATGATGTCTTTTAATCTGATCTTTACAATCAACCCCACTTTTTTTAATAGGCGAAGGAATTAAGACTTCTCCATGTTTGGTCACATGTCTGGTGACTCACAGCTGGAATGAAGGGCCTGGATTTGGACCTGGCTTTGCCTGACTCCAAGGTCCATGTTCTTTGTCACCTCAATGGACCAGCTATCCTTCGACATACATGTCATTACAGTTCCCTTTGGCTAGAAATCTACATCTTTGTCTTTTGGAAGCAGATCCAAAATATTATTTAAGCTTTTCTTGGTAACTCTGAGCTATCACTAAGAATTTCGAGTTGCCACAATAACAAATGTTCCTGTTCACTAAGCCTCTATATGAAACAAGGTAAAGGGCTTTCCATAGGTCAAACCTGCATGAGAGCCCTACCACGTGGATGTCATTTCATCGACTTCATGGCTGAGCAAATAAAGGCCTAAAGAAGTATAAGGTAACTTATCCACTCTAGAAGGCAGGGGCGAGAAATGCACCAGGTCTTTCTGACCCCAGAGCCTTTGTGTCCACACGGCCTTGCCGCTTTTCAGCACTAACAGTACACAATAAAGATGTGGAGGCACCTCACATGTGGATTCTAATGATATAAAATCAACCATGTGGGTTCAGGAACCAGAAAAGAAAGTGAATTAGAATCATGGCAGCTTCCTGCTTTTCAGCTAAATGAGCAGACAGGGAGACAACAGGCATACCTCTGTTATTCCCTTCGTCTTCTACTTCCCACGGCAACAGCTTCTTGAGATGCAGAGGACGGCTTGCGTGTCAGAGATGTATGTCTTCATAGAAGCCGGCTCCCAAGTCCAAGAGCACCACTGATGCTCCACGGTCCCAGCACCTCCGGGAGAAGGGGCTGGGCTGGACCTGCCATACGAGAGACGTTGGTCCCTATGGCTCATCTTGCTCAGGGATCTAAGCTCCATAAGGGAGGACTACCTTACCACTTCTTAACTTTTCTAACCCCCGTGTCCAGTACATAGTGAGCCCTCAATAAATATTTGTTGATGTACGGTTCAATTAAATGCAAAAAAACAAAAAAGAGGAAGAATTTCAAGTTGTTTAAAGATTAAAAATTGAATACTTATGGGCTGTAAGAACTTGTCGGGAAGTTTCTCTCTTTATCCATTGACCTTATATTAGATATTTTTAGCATGCGTGACTTTTTATTTTCAGTGCCTTTTCTGCCTCCTCTCTTACCCTGAGCTCTCACTTCCAGTTTGTGAAGATAAATCACCACACGTATATTTCCCATCTTCATGGAACTTACATTCGATCAGAATTTTCTATTTGGATTGCAGTTTAAAAATTCTATCACTCCCATCATCACCTGTGACCTTCAAAAAAATTTTGAGAACTAGGTGGGTCAGGTATTGATCTTCTCGTTTCACAGATGAAGAGACTCCCCTGGATTCTCCCCTTTCCACCTGGCAGGACCCAGGAAGAACTGGACTTGGTGAACTTTGTTGGGGGAGAGAAGGCAAAGGGGCTGAGTGTGTGAAGGAGTGGGCACACTGGGGGAACCTGACCGCTGGGAAGCCTGATGTCCCCAAGCAGAGCTAGATGTGGATCCAGCCTGCTTTGGAGCATCTTCACTCTGGCACACATGTCGCCTTCTCTCCAGCTCCTCATCACCTCAGGGACAGGTAGCGAATGCCAAGGAAGGTGCTGCTGGGCCTTCCTCCCTCAGCTATAATGCGTGGCATGTGCGTAGACCCATGAGCACATCCTAGCGTCTGTCCTTATGTGTGAGGGCTTCGCATGAGAGCCGAGCGGTGACACATCTACCTGCAAGAAAGGACACGTTTGTCACAAACAGGACATTACACTTCTGCAGAGGCTCATTGAAAAAGCATTTACCACAAGACACAAATTACACATGTTCCTTGTCCAGAAGCATTTCTTAAGTGTTCAGATGCCCATTAATTCTCCAGCCATGGGAAGGTCTGTGGTAAGGGGCGTGGAGGAGAAGCAGGCTGCCGGACTGTGACTCAGCCTTCAGCTCGCATGACCTCCATCCTGGAGGACCTGGGGAAGGACTGTCCCTCACAGGCAGAGAAGGCCAAGTTCCCCTCCTGCAGGGTGTCTCCAGGGGCCCAGAAGAGTGGAGAAGCTAAGGAAATCCCAGGGAAGTCCCCCCTGCCACCATCCCCAAATCCAGCGATTCCTCACTTGCTTGGGCCAACAAACCCTTTGATTCCTACTTCTCACCCCACCCTGGGGCACTTCACATTTTCTCTAGGGAATATTTCGAAATATCCATACACTACAATAAATCACATTTTACGTTTACGGCTCCTCATTATCTCAACTCTCAAATGAAAGCAACTCTGAGGCTTGCTTGGGAAGCCGGAAGGACTGGAGAAGTTGAAATGAGAAAGAGGTACAAAGGCGCAACGTGCCATGTCTACACGGGCTCATCTGTGTGCTGAGGCAGGGCTCAGGCAGATCTGGGTGTGCATCTCAGCTGCATACTAACCTCTCTGAATTTAAGTGTCCCCGGGGTGCAAACGCTATTAACACCTACAACACAGAGCTGTGGCGTGGATTAAATTAATCAGCTGCATCCCTACCTAGTGCAGGGCCCAGCAAGGTAGCAATGTGGGGCTGGGGACGCATGGAGGATTTCAGACCCCCTGGATTTATCTGAGGACCACGTGGCCTAAAGAGGAGATAAATTTGTATAGCCCATTGGACAGCTGAAAGAGCTGTCTTCTCTGTATTTAATTCAATTACTAGAGTTTCTAATGATACAGGGAGTTCCTTTCTTTATAGTCTGTCATCCAGCCAATCATAATCTTTCTGTGAACATTCAACCATGTATTCGCTCAATATGAAAGCACTGCATGCAATTTTTCCTTTGGCGATCCAGAGGAAGGAGTCAGGGACGTTATCACCATATGAAGATGGGGAAATTGAGGGCCAATTACGGTTGGTGACATGCATGGGGACACAGGCTGGCTGGTCCCAAGCCGTCCCATTGCTTGGCTGGCAGTCTAGTGTCTGACCACTTTCCTCTCACCCCCAGCTGCTGCCCAGATAAGTCTGCTAGATTCTCTTAGTGGCAAAAACAGGAACAACAACAACAACAAGAATTAGTCTAATCCAGAATCTTCTCTTTCACCAGTAAGGAACGTTATGAAGGTGGCCAGCTCAGGAGCTCTAGTGGTTGACATCGACTTCACGGTGACAATAATGATGTGTCGAAGGCTTGGGCCTCACTAACCGGGAGCCTGGTGACAATCTGCTACCAAATGGGACCTCTTTAGACACAGTCCCTTCAATTCTGTAACTCAGTCCCTAAGAAACAACATTCGGGAAAGGCATCTGACCAGTCGAAGGGCGAACAGAAAATGAGAAGGATGAATGCATTTTATGTTTGTCCAAAACAATTTTGGATTTGCTCTTTGGGCCTAGAAATCGGGGCTAGCTAATAATATTCATGCTTAAAAGCGGGAAGTCTGCAAAAGCGGGCCCCTCGGGACACTCTCAGGAGGCTGCGGACTTGAGACAGGAGCGGTGAAAATCTGTATTACTGCAAACCGTCTCAAAAGCCCATTTTTCCAGCTATCATTTGGACCTTATTGGTTCTAATTTGTTGAAAAGGGGGAGGGGAGGAAACACCCAATACCATCTGCTTCATTGTTTTGTGGGAAAATATATGCAGTTAAAGGGGAGAGAAACATTATTTGCCCAGCCTGAAGCTTTTGGTGCTCCCCCACAACTATTTGACCTGAATATATTAAAGATTGTAATGTTTTGTTACATGTCCCAGGGCAAAAAAAAAAAAAAAAAATCAGGCTATCACTTATTAGCTTTCTGTTCCTGGATCCGTCCAGTTGATTCGACAGCGCAAAAGATAGTGGGGAAATCCAAAGGTAAAGGTTAAACTCTGTTTTATTATGTTTACAGGATTTAAAGGGTAAGTCAGGAAGTGCTTACATAACATCCAGTGAAAGTGGTGGATTAGTTACCAGAGCGGGACTTAAAAGCGGCCTTAATCCTCCGAATCTCCAGGGGTGAAAGGTCAACCTCTAACACCAGGTTGTGTAAAGAATGGAGAAGCCACAAGCTTCTGTTTCATCGTGGCCCTGCTAATCCACTGAGGAAATGAGCAGCCGGGGGTTTGGGGAGAGGTAACCGCCTCCTCCCAGGGAAGCCACCTGTGAATTTGGCCAAGGAGGGAGTAATTAAAGTCAGCAGGGCCCAGAGCAGGGGGGGTAGGCCCGGGCAAACACAGCCGCCCTGCTGCAGCGTTGGAAGGCGGGGCGGCGGGGGGGGGTGGGGGGGGGCGCTTCCCCAACCTCAGAGGAGCCAACCCTGCCGGCCCCTGCCAAATCCTGCAAACGGACCCCGGTTTTCCCTGACATGCCGGAAAGTGGGCTGCAGACCAATGACAATCACACGCACCCACACGCGCGCGTGCACAGGCTAATCAGGAACTCTGGAAGGGGTTAGCTGACATACTAAGGAGCCAGTTGCTGAGAACAGGGGCCCAAAGAAATATTAATAATTAATAATTCCGTTCCTCCTCATTTGTTCTCTTGCTTGCCCTCCTCTCCCGCTCATCAAAAATGAAAAAAAAAAAAACTTTTCTTACTCATGAATATAAGATTTAAATAGATCCTCTAAAATTATAGTCAGCCTTGTCCCTTAGGATTTTGACTACTTTAGGAAGTAGTTACCTATAATATCTTGAAGTGTGTTTATCTATCTGCCCCTCTGACTGTCCATGTGTATATCCATCTGCCTGTCTCGCTACTTATCGATTGCATGTGTTTAAGACATCCTGAGGCACAAAAATAAACCCAAAGTGTGACATCATATGGGCATAAGCACTTTTTTGAGAAGCCTGAGCTGGGGGACAGCAAAATCCAGAACTCAGATTCCTTCTGTCCTCCATCTCTCTTGGTACCCATTTCGGGCCAGAAAAAAGTAGGGTTAACTTCACCATCCCCGGCCCCTGGCTTTGCCCAAGGAAGCACCTCTCTCTAAACTCCCTGTTAAACCTCAGCGTGTCACGTGGGATGTTTCGAGTCCACGACTTAGTAAACGTCTTCCTTCCGTGCTTGGACAAATCAGAACTTGGGATACAATCAATTTGTGGAAGAAAGTTCCAACACATTTCAGCACAAAGCTAAAAAAGCTTTCGGAGTAGCCTTTCCATATTTATTCTGAGCTGGCCTTTATTAAATCACTGGTGAAAAATACGGAGATTCGTCTCAGCTGTACTTTCATCATCTTAAAACAGCGGAGGCATTAATCTTAGGAAATTGCAGAAGTCGAGCGCTGTGCAGACGGATGGCTCGGAGGTGCTGCTGGTGTTCGTGTCTGATTGTCTCGCCGAAGGTGTTCATGACGCATACAGCGCTAATAGTTTATGCTGTTCATTTTTTACAGAATTTGTGGTTTAAGCATTCTGCTTAGAATATCTAAAATATTTCTTTCCTTCTTTTAAAAAATGGCATCAAACTGTTTAATGTGAAATGGGAAAAGTGCTTACTTGCATATATTCGATTCTCTGCCACCTCTTTCCCCCTCACCCCCTCAGAGCCCTCAACTCTTTCCTTGGTGTTTCAGAGCCTGGCTTGTTCCCACCAACTATTCTTCATTAAGTCAAATCTAATGACCTGACTGCATTTGGAAAATAAGAGAGAAAATTGAGTACTTGCTTCCCTTGGGATAAGGGTTTAAAAAATAGATCGAACATGGGATTCAGGGGCACGCCGTGAGGATGGAGCCTAAGCCAGCTTGGTATATCAGGGTAGAAATTGTAGAGAGTAGCCTTATCAAACACCCAGTGTGTCAGAATTCCCCGGAAAAAAAAAAAAACAAAAACAAAAATCCACCCTTCATTTGAGGCTGGAAGGGCTCCCCCACGTAACCCTCACCCAGTCTACCGCACATCACTAGTGGGGAAGAGAACACTCAAGACTAACATCAAAGTAACCCGTAAACTGGGAATTCCACTCACAGGGGAACTGGTTTGGGTGGGAACTTCACTGAAGAAGCTGAGGAAAGGAACCGGTTTTGATGAATGGGTGCAGGGTCAAAAGCCAAGACACAATGATTTATTTAAGAGGAAACAATTTCTAGGTTATGGGCCCCAAACTAACCCTTACCAAGAGGGAGGCACCCGAAAAGGAAGCTGTGTCTGGTGTATTTATGGGACAGAAGTCCTAGGAGATTTCAGGAAACCATTGGCAAACCCATCGGGGCCTCCACGACGGCTGGTGGAAAGTTTGGACCGGACAGGACTTAGGCGCTCATGGCCTGGCGGGTGTGAGGGAGGGATTATTTCTTCCCAACCTCTTGCTTCAGCTCCAGACTTGGGAGTCTGAGTTTTAAATGAGAGCAAGCCTGAAGGGAGAGGATTTGCATATTTTCATTTTGCCTAAATACAATCCAATGGAGTTGAGGAGAAAATGGCTTCATCCTCTTAAATCCCCAGGCTGAGGCAAACTTGGGGAAAACACAAGCAGAAAACAGCGTCTGAGACCAAAGAGCTTTATGCTCACATCTCGAGGCTGTCACGAATGCAAAGAAGGTGCTAGGCAGGATTGATACTGAGAATCCAAGAAAATAAGATCAAATACAATCCTTTATCTAACGGGTGAACCATCCATTCTATTGAAAGCCGCGGAGGCAGATGCTGACAGGTCCCAGGCACTACAGCAACCCACACGGAACCTCTCTCTCTCGTTAAGGAGGAAAACAGGAGACATTAGGGGACCGCTCTGCTGTCCTGAATCACCAAGGATGGGGACGCTGCCCCTCGCTGGCTGTGT